GGTTGCATTCTGAGAGCCTGGAAGAAAGCAACCAGTCTTTATTGCACAAATGAAAGAGTGAGTGACATTCTTCAAGACTGCCTGTTCTCACCACTCAACCCACCTGCATTTGAAGAAGTTGCCTCAAGAGTTTTCAGGGCGATGCTTTCATTTTTGACTGTGTCCTGGGCCTTTTTGCTTTATATTTCTGGAATTGCAGCCGCTTAGTCCAAGCAATTCCACTCTTACCATGTCCCATTATCATAGCCTGAATAACTACTATGGTCATATACTTATCTTAAAACTTTTTTTTTTAATACCACTTTTAGGGTGCATTCTTAGGGGAATAAGCCACCTGTTACCTGTCCTCCACACATGTTTCTTTATTCATGGTTAGTACTATGCATTAAATGAAGATTTTGAGACACCTGTCTCACCCTACAGAGAAAAATTAAGTAGTATCACCACCTAGATCACATACAAACGTGACCTGTTGATGACCCTTAATGTGAAAATTAAAATCTTAAAGATAAAAGTAGAAAATGTTGAGAGTGTCTGCATATGATTTTGGGGTGCTGCTCAAGGATTTCTTAAACAGTATGGTTTCACCTACATCAAAACTTAAGTTCTCTATTGAAAAAAGACAACACTATAACTTGTTCCATGTTAATTAACAAGTGACAATTCAGGAGAAGATATTTGTAATGTCTTTAACTCACCAGGATTCATTTAGAAGGTACAAGAAAATCCTGTAAAACAATTAGGAAATGGCAGAGAACACAAAGGTAGATAAAAGCTATAAATAGGTTGTTTATAAAGAGCTATTTAGTAGTAACCCTAAGATAAAATATAATGCCAAAGGATTATTTCACATTGCTCCCATTAGAATGATAACATTTTGAAATTCAAATAATACTGAATGTTGTCAAGGAGTGAATAGTCACATTCACAGTTTGAATTTAAAAATTAAATGAAAATAGTCCTAAGTGTCATATTTATGTCAAGTTTAACACACATGTAAACAAAACAATAGAGTCCTTTTTAAAGATTCATATACATTCAAGGATATTTATCAAACACATTAGAGACAGTTTCTGTGGGATAAAGTTGGGGGATTGGGAGTGGAGCTTGGAGATCAGGAAGAATAAAATAGAGTTAAATCAAAATGAAATGAAATAAGAACACTGACTTGCCAGGCCTGAACACAGGTTATGATCTGAGTCGTATGATTAACTAGCCTAACTGCCCTTGAAATCCAAAATAAATAAATAAATGGAGAGAACAAGCCTCAGGGAGGTTTTCCTTCACAATCCCTGATTTACAAGGGCAGTGCATTAATCACTGAAATGCAAAGTCTTTAATTAGTTCCTGTCCATAGGTGAGTGTTTTGCCAACTGAAATAATAATGGGAAGCAAATGTAGGGATTTTCCTCACTCCCAAAGAGTACTGACCTCACAGATGATTAAGTATCTGCCCTCCTTGCCTGCAGTCCACTCAGATGAAAACCAAGACCACCCCTCAGAAAGCTTCCCCAAGGAGAGAAGTTTGAAATGCGTCATTTTACCAAAGTGAATTAGCATCTCCCAGGCATTAGGGAGCCAGCTTGATGACCAGGGAGAAAGGCAGAGATTACTTTATAATTGACTGGGTGTTCTTTTAAATAAATCTCTTTGCATGTAGTTTCCACCCTGTTAAAATGGATGCATCTACCTTGCAGGGACATTGTAGAAAGCATCTGAGGAAAATGAAAACTTATTAAATGAATGTAACCAAAATATTTTAATCAGAACTAACCAGGGACTATCTTTAAACATATTTGTAAAGGGTGGGAGTGTTTAAACACTGGATTATTAACAATGAGTCATTTACTTGTAAGAACTGGATGAAATGAAAATGTTCAGAGGAGTGTTGGGCTAACGAATCATTTCAGTATCTTTTTTCAATAGGCTTCTGAGGAACAGGAAGTGTCAGGTCCAGCCATAAAGGTTTCATTCTTCATATTTTGGCAGGGTTGGGATTGGCTAAAGGATATCATATTTCACTGCCCTGACTTTAATGGAATAAGATGTTGGCTAATATGATAACAGCATGAGATGAACTCTAGGTGATCTCTTGGGCTTTGGGCAGGGGAATAAAATCATTCACCAAAGTGACAATCTAATTACTGAAGAATGGGACCAGCTGACGGGGTGCAAATACCTTCACCGATGGGGAGAACTTAGAAATTGCACCCTGTCCTTTTTTCAACTTCTAGAGGTTTTTTCTGAATTTAAATTTATTATGTTATGAGTCTTTTAAACCCAGATGGTCATTTTGGAACAGGCAGAAGGGATAAAATTGATTTCACAGCTAGGAGAAAAATACTGGCAAGATTACTGGGGAGTACTTAAGGAATTTGGGGCTATCACCTATTCATACCACAGGTGAATGTGGTAGAAGTTAGAGGTCTGAGTTTAAATCCAAACTCAGTAGCTTTCTGGCTTAGTAAACTTTACCAAGATTCTTCACCTTTCTGAACCTAGTTTCTTCACTTGTATAGAGTTCAAATGTCTAGTGCCTTAAGCACTATTACCACATACTTAGCATAAATCTGTCTTATTTCTTATGGAATACTTCATTTATTTCTGAAATTCCTACAGTCACAAAACAATATAAGATGCAAACTGCTCTGTCCACATACGCCGCCTGCTGAGTGTCTTAGAGATGTCTCACATCTGTTGCTTACAATGTCAACGCCAAGTATAGTAGTTAGATGATTCAAAGTTTGTGGATAATTTATTATGCACCAATAGACAGCTAATATACTTTTTATTGTAAGAAGTGAAGATCTTTGGTAGAAAAACCTTAAAGTGTTGGAATATCTTTGGAACTGTGTAGTGGGAGAAGCTGGAAGAACTGTAAGGAAAAGGTTAGTGAAGGCCTAAAGAATCTTGAAGAGACTGTTAGTAGAATGTGGATGGCCTTTGAAAAGGCTGTAAGTTGAAGGGTTTAAAGGAAAATGAGGAAAGCGTTACAGGAAGTTCAATGAAAGGGGTTCTTGTTATGGCGTAGCAGGAAGTTTAGCAACATTGTCACCTACAATTATGTGAAAAGTAGAAAATGTGCAGGTATTCTAGTTCACATTTTCAGGTGTAATATTGAAGGTGCTCAGAGACGTCTTCTTGCTGATTGTAGCAAATTGTGAGACTAACGAGATAATTTAAAGAGAGAAGTCAAAGGGAAAAAGAATCCAGTAAGTGCTAGCTTTGAAAATGCCCAGCATTTTTTGACAGCAAGTATTGATAAAATGAAGAAATGGCTTCAAGGCAAAGGTAAGTTCTGGGGTACTGCAAGGAAAATGTTTCAGATGATGATGCTAAAAGTTTGGCTGTAAAATTCTGTGTTCACACTTCACTAAAGCCTACAGCAAGGATGAGAAAATAATTGAGATAAACAATAGGACTTCAAAGACACTTATGAGTGCTGTGCCTCTGTATTTTCAAAGGAGGGCTCTCCAGAGTCCAGAAAAACTCTTGGGTATGATTTTTGTCCAAATAAGTAAGCCTCAGTTAGATTCGCAGGTGACTCATAACATTTTAAACAGATTATATTGACAGAAACTTTGCCAGTATGGACGAAATGGGACAGAAAATACAAAATGAAAGGGGGGCTTGAAACCCCTAAATTCTACTCATAAGAAGCCAACTTACAAATTTCACAGCTGCAAACATGGGATATATTTCATGGAAAAGAAAAAACGACTCAAAGAGTAGAATCAAAGGATGAAATTGAGAGCCATGGAGTGTCATTTCTGGCCAAGAGTAGGATTGAACCCTGATGACCTGAAGGAACTTCTAACATTTGCCCTCGTGGATTTCAGGATCACTATGGGCCAGTAATCCTGTGTCTCATTTCTTTTCTCCTTCTTGGTCAGGCGTGCCTGTACCAACTACACCAAGACCATTGTATTTGGGAGTGTGGGGAAACACAGGCTTTAGATGAAGAGGATCTGTACCTGAGGAGGTGCACTTAAGATACTACACCTAGGAGCCTCATCCAACACCTGGACCTGATTTAAAGATGTATTTATTTATGCATACAGAACTGGGGTAGGAGTGGGGAGGGTGAGAGGATTCACCAGAGACAGAGAAGGGATCAGAACAAGCAGACTGACAATGTACACTGCTGAGGGGAGCAAGCGCATGAGGCAGCAGAGGTCTGCTGGGGCATGTGGGTCGCCTCCCTGGTAGGGGATTGAACTTGTGCTGAAGTGGCTGCAGCTAGCCGCGTTACCTGACATCTCAGCCTGACTCCAAGCAAGCTTTCAGAAAAAGAGACACAGGGTGCTGCTACCTGAGAGATCCTGAACCCTAAGAGGCAGGAATGCAGACATTGCAAACAGACAGAACATAGTATTGGCTCTAAAATGCCTGTTTGCCCAACCTGATTCTAGAACAAACACAACCCTTCCTGGTGCGCTTTGGAAATCCCAACGGGACAGGTTGAATGGTCAACAATACCTGATTCCTGACACCTTGCAGAACAGGCAGCAGCAGGGTCTGGGGCCAGCACCCCCAAGTGGAAGGAAAGGAACTGAAATACAAGGGTGCACCAGCCTAGTGGCCTTGGAAGATTAGGCTGACACCTCTAGGGAGGGATGGGGGAGGCGGCTCACACTGCAGGCTCCAGAATGAGCTTGCAACCTCTCCATCCTCCTCCTCCTTCCTGGGGATGCTGAGACCCTCGGGAAACGCAAAATAAGGCGATTGCCACTTTAAATGACTCAGGAAGTGAAAGAAGCCTTCAGCCTGGGAAAGAAAGTGGAACCGGGGCAGCGCTGCAGCTGGAGGCGCCGCAATCTAGCCGGGCAGCGGGAGGCCGAGCCGGCGGCTGGCGCTGGGGCAGACACGGGCGCTGGCTGCCGCCGGAAGTGAACCGGGCGGCGGGAGGAAGCGCGGCCGGCGCCCTGCGCGGGCAGGCGGGCTGGCCCTGGGCTCCCGGGCCGCGCAGGGGCTGCGGGTAGCCGGAGGCCGTGGCTCCCCCGGGCGTGACTCTTGGGCGGGAAGGTGGAAATAGGGAGGAGGCGGAAAAAAGGGCTAGGGCCGGAGGCAGAGGCGAGCTCCAAGCCCCCGAGGCTGCGCCCGCACCAACGTGGACGCTGGCGTGGGCACGGCCCTTGAGGAGCTGCCCTAAGAGGGCACGTGTGGCGGGTGTGAACCCCGCGAGGCTCCGCGGGCCGCGGGGCTGGGTCGGGATGCACCTTCTGCTAGGCAGCCGCCATGGGGCGCACGCACGGGCACAAGTTCCCTGGCCATCACCTGGCTGGATATGTCCACGCAGCTGTCCCTGCCTGGATCCCCCGGTGCCCATGTGGAAGAAGAGGGAAAGGAAGACATTGAAGCCAAGGAGGAAAATGAGAGGGATAGAGAGAATGAAGTGGAGAGCGAGAGCGATATGAAGGAAGAGAGTGAGGGAGACATGGAGGATGACCGAGAGAACAAGGTGCAGGAACAACCAGGAAGGAGAATCTGAGGCTGAGGGAGAAACTGAAGCAGTAAGTGAATTTGACCCAGAAATAGAAATGGAAGCAGCAAGAGTGGCCTAGAGAAAATGTCTAGCCCATCGACTCGATTTGAGCACCTGTTGTCAGGAAGATAAGCACCTCACCTGTGGCCTGTGCCCAGTCATTGGGGCACACCAGAGTCACCAACTCACCACCCTGGACTAAGCCTTCGAAGAACTGAAAGTAAGTATTGACCAATCATAGCTTAGGCCTAGCGATCAGGACACCTGGGCTCAACCGGGTGCTTTAGTAGAGTTCCAATTTCATCGTGTCCCTACAATTCTAGTCTGTTCAGCTTATTAGGAACAATGCTTAGTCACCTTTTTTGGTTGAATCAGATGACATTCTCAACTTTGACCCAAGAAAATTATGTATATGCATAGAATCTACACAATTGCTAGAAAAGGGCAAGCCCTTGGTCTGTGAATGCAGGTAAAGAATTCCTTGAGATTCCTTGAATTCCTTGAGATTCCCACAGATTCGTATAGGTGAGATGGTGCTGTGACTTAGGGCTCTTGTAAGGCCACCTCTGCCTACTTGAAAAGTGGGAAGCCTGGGCATCCGCCAGGTGTATCCAGGCAGGTGTTTCTCTGGTGAAAGACTCTTCTCAGGTGCACTTCTTGTTTGCCTTGCGTTCCTTTTAGGTTATTCATGTTTGATTCTTTGTTGAGAGGGTAGGAGGCCAAGGTGAAGTGGGAGTGGGGATTCCAATGTCCTCCATCATTTCAAGAAGGCAGGGCTTTCATCTGTGTAGAACCTGGACTTTGGACTCCCAAACATTTGCTTAGCAAATAATAGATACTTGGTAATTATTTGCTGATTGAATGAATTTGAAAATGCTTTGACTTTTATTTATGCTCTGTATGTGTTGTCTGTGAGAGAAACTGCTAGAGCTAGCTAGGAAAGAAAGTTTGAATAGAGTGATCAGTTCATTAGAGAACGGTGTCATTTTTTATGATGACTTTTGCTTCCCTAAGCAATCTTGTGATTACTGATGCTGCCATAACAAATATTTTGATAATGAAAAGCTCCTATAAGAGGTTTTCCCTTTTTTAATCCCTATTTTCGTTCTATCCCTCAAAGTATGTGAAGACATGCCTAGTCTAATAAATGTTTATAAAGCACATTATAAAACAAATAATCATAAAGTTCACTCAGAGTAAAAACTTGAATATTACTGGTAATATTGAACTCCCCCTCCCCCCAACCTCCTATGCCCTTTACCAATTAAAACCATTTACTTTCCCCTTAAGTAACATTATCTTGACTTCTGTGGTGGTAATTTCATCACATATATTTGCTTTCCAAAACTTATTTGAACTTGAGACAGTTGGTATTGTCTCTTAATCTCTTAGGTTTTTCTTCATTTTCACACAGTTGTATTTATGAGATTCATAGTGGGTGGCTGTGATTTCATTGCTATTATAGAATCGCATTTTATGAATAAGTCATACATTCTATCAGTGATGAACATTTGATTTTCAGATTCTGGAGTTTCTGGCTATTATAAGATATGTAACTAGAAACAGTCTTGTCCTGTTTCCTGGTGCACATCTGCATATATTTAAGTGCAATATCATACATGCATATAAACCGAGGGCAATTACCAACTCACTGACTGCATATTTTCAGTAATATCATATTGCCAATTATTTTCCAAAAGTGGTTATACCAATTTCCATTGCTTTGTATAGTGTTTATGAGTTTTAGTGTTCTGTATTTTCACCAACACTTGTTATTACAGACTTTTTAGTTTTTTTTTTCCCAACCTTGTGGCTATGTAATGGTATCTTCTTATGCTTTTAATTTGCATTTTTCTGGCTCTAATGACTTTGAGTATCTTTTGAATTTACTCTTTTGTGAAGTGCCCATTCAGGTTCTTTTTTATTATTATTATTGATTTGTCTTTTTTTCATTCATATATTAAAATTTTTAATTTTGGGGGGGGCTTTGTTATTTGCAAAGATGGTTTGCAAATATCTCTTATTCTGTTTTATCTTTTTCTTTTATTAAAAAATATGCCTTGAATATAAGTTCTTGGAATTTATCAGTACTTTCCCTATGGTTAGTATTTTTGTGTCTTGTTCCACTTAACACTGATTTTTTGTGGAGTGAAGGAAAGGGCTTAACTTCATTTTTTCTCCATGCCAGCTCCAAGAGCATTTATTGAAAAGTCTGCCCTTTCTGCACTTATCTGCTGTGCTACCTGTCATATATCAAATGGCTAATTGTGTGAGTGCATTTCTTGACTCTCTATTGATCTATTAGCATATCCTCATGTGAACTATATATTTCTGAGTTACCATTGTTTTATAGCTTGTCTTAATATCTGGCAGAGCAAGTCTTTTCACTGTGTTCTTCTAAAATGGTGTTTCAGACAGTGTTTGATCTTCAAATTTCTTAAAATAATACTAAAAAATATTTTAAAAGCTTGTAGGACTTTTTGGTATTAAATTTCTAAATAAATAGTAGATGAACTAATACCATTATAACTTGAAGTTTTCTTATCTTATTTAAGTCTTTTTTATTTAGCCTTGCAATGCATTTATATTTTTTTCCCTGAAAGATCTTGAATATCACAGTGAAATTTATTTCTAGATATTTGCAATTTTATGGTATTGTAAAAAAATGTTTGTAGTTTTTGTGTTCTCATTGTACATAGGAATATGATTATCTTTTCACATTGATTTTTGTATTAAGATAGCTACTAAATTCTGTACATATCCTAATACTTTTTCTCTAGAATTATTTGACATGCATGGTCATATTTATATGGGGAAAGGGACAGGTTTTTTTTCCCCTTAACTTTATACCTGTGATTTCTTTTTTCTTACCTTAATACTTTGGAAAGGACCTCCAATTACCACTTACTGAAAATAATAGTTATTTTATCCTTGCTACTGATTGAGGGGTAATGTAAAACATTTCAAAAATAAGTGTGAAAGGAGGGCTTTTTTTTTTTTTAAATAGATGCATCAGATTAAAAAAGTTCCCTTCTAGTCCTAATATGTCATTTTTTTTTACATTGAATGGATACTGAATTTTATCAGATGCTTTTTATTGGATCTCTTGGAATTTTCCTGTGAGTTTTATTTTTTAACTATGTTAATATGACAAACTGTATTAATTGATTTACTTTTTAAGTGAAATTAAAAAATCCTATGTTTACACACATACCTCTCTTTCATCTCTGCCCCAACAACAATTGGCAACCACTTTATTAGATTTTTTGGCTTATATTTGACGTGATGTCTTCTGAAAACACAGGTGCAAATATATTGTCTTATTTCCATCCTTTCATGTCCTCATTATATTTTACAAATAAAGCAGTCTTGTTTCTGGGATGAACCCAACTTGATCATGATTAAGTAGTCTTAGTTTTTTAAATTTGATTAATAATTTGCATAGAATTGTTTGGTGTCACTTATCCTTTTTATTTTTTTTAAAGATTTATTTTATTTGTGCATGCAAAACTGGGGTACAGGCTAGAGGTGCAGGGAGGTGAAAGGATTCACCAGAGACAGAGTGGGGAGCAGAACAGACAGACAGATCCACTAAAATACACTGCTGAGGGGAGCCGTGGGTGGGTCAGGAGAGGTCTGCAGTGCCATGTGGGTCACCTCCCTGGCTGGGGATGGAACTTGTGCTGCAGTGACTGTGGTAGCTTTGTCGTGCTATGCTTTAACCCGAAGTGCCACCAGAGAGGGCCCTTTCCTTACATTTTTAAGGGTTAATTCTGTACAGTATTTTAAATTGTGGTTTCAGTTTCTTTAATGGTTATAGGTGTGTTTAGGTTGTCTGTTTTTATTAGTCAATTTTCATACTTTATTTTCCTAGAAGTTTGTTCATTTTGTTTATATTTTCAGATGTACTAGTATATATTTGTGAATCATATTCTCTTGTTCATACTGTAGGTCTCCTCCATATTCCTTTAAAAAACAATAAGTAAGAGTCTCTGATAATTTCTGTTTGTGAACACTTTGTAGCTGTCTTTCTATTACTATTTTTGATAGGTTATCTTATTTCTTTATTTCCTTTTGCTCTTCATTATGTATGACTTCTTGGCTTTCATTGCTTTTAAAAATGATTTCTGTGGATTCCCTAAGCCTTGGCTAGGGACGATTTGAGTTGCTTTTTCTGTGACCTGAGCGTACAAATTGCTTGGAGCCCCCTGAAATAATAAGCCCCCTTATTAAATCAATTGCTTTAGATTTCGTGGAACAATTCTATAAGAGGTTCCTACTCAAGATTACTTTTTAAAGATTTTTCTTTCATCTCCTACCCCATTCTTTTGTTCTGCTCCAAGGCAACACTTCCCACAGTCCTACTACTTGTAAGGTTAAATAGTGGGTAGTTTAATTTGCTTGATCTAGGACTTCACTTGCTGGGTGGGAGGGGCCCTTCTGTTACTCTCTCCCTGGCTCCCAAACCACTTTAGCCCTAACCTTATGCACAGCCCACTTTCTTGAGATTAGTTGTCCTTAGATCAAGAGCTGCTTTTTGTACTCTGCTTATGTTAATATTACTAAACTATAGACCTTATTAGAATTTCACCAACTGCCCTCTACTGGTTTCTGTTCCAATCCGATGGCCACTCTACATTTCCTTGTTGTTGATCTTGATTGTTTTGAGGAGTGTTAATCAGGTGTTTGGTGGAATTTTGATGTGTCTGATGATTTCCTCATGGTGAAACTGGAATTATGGATGGGGGGGTTAATAAATTTTCTTTTATGCTGTGATTTTTTTCACTTAGCAGTGTGTCTAGGAAGTCACTCAATAGAACTGACTTTTTCCTTATACTGCAAATACCCCATTATGGGTCATTCATTAATAATTTATGATACTGCCTTTTTAAACTCTAGAATGCTGATGAAGTTATTTTTCAAGGACTCATTTCTCTGAATTTGGGGGGGGGGTTGATTCTCGATTATATGTTTTATTTTCATGTCTCAGACATTGTATTTAAAAGAGATTACAACAACATTTTCTGTTCTCACCTCTCCGAAAAGGCATGCCATTTTCTCTGTGGGCCACTAGCATAAGAAGTATCATTTTGATCCAATGAAAATGTGAGCTTGGTCAAAGCTTTGTTGCAACTTAGTTTTAGTTCACTTGTGGTTTCAAATATTTTGAGGGTGATGTACATTTATTTTGTACATTTGCTTATTGACAAGACCTCAGTC